AATTATAAATTAAAATTTAACTAAAATATATTCATAAATACCATTATCAATAAATTTCTTAAAAATCCAATTTAAATTTATCCTACATTTAATAGGTAAAAAAATTCAGTACAGTCAATCTTGAAAAGACTAGAAAAACTATTGGTTGAATTAGAGTTATAGCATTGAATGTTATTATTTAAGGTTGAGCTTGGTTAATATAATAATACTAAAATGTTTGAAATATACTTGAATTTAAAAATAAATATAAAATAAAATTGTTTTTATTATAATTTTATAATAAAGTCTTATTGTTTCGAAACATGAAATATAAAAACATAGATGAACAAGTGTTTTTATCTTTATTGTTTTTATTCTTCACTTTCGAAACACTAACAAAACATGGGTGAAAAACAACCTCGTGCATTTAAATTTGAAAAAAAAAAAAAAAAAAACCTCATTTACGGGCCATTTATGATTTTTTAGGTAATATAGATTTGATGGATGTTTGATAACGACAACACAAAAAAAAAGTGGATGGATGTGATTATTTGGCCATAAATTCGGACAATTATGCATCTGGGGTGGGTCAAGTAGATGCAAGGTTTGGTCCCTTATTGTCATCCACGTGTGTTGTTATGTCAGGCGGGTGCAGAGGCCTAAAATAAATGTAAGAGTCGAGGCAATCGGGTTGACGGATTGGGTTAGACCCGTCTTGTATTCGTGTTCGGGTCATTGTATATATGACCACAATTCACTTGGATCAATTCATTGATCTCTGGTAAATCTGAAAATGTTGGATCGAGTTAAATTCGGATTGTATTTCTGTTTCAGTGTTATTATATATTTGATTATAATCAGTTTGGACTGTAATGAATCCAAAGGCTTGAGATAATTATACAATTAATTCGTATGGTTTTTAAACAAAAATTATAAATTTTATCGAGTCCAAGTTATGGTTTAAATTTTTTAAATTTTTATCTTTCAGCTTGATTTTTTTATTTATAATTTAATTATTTTATATTAAGTTGATTCAAGATTAAATTTAATATCTTTTTAATTGGTTTTATATAGGATTCTCGTAATGTTGTTAAATTAATATTTAATTTAATATAATATAATATAATTTTATTTATTCAAACTAATTAAAATTATACAAATTTAATCTCAAACTAAAACAAATATTTAATTTTTTATCTAAAAATAATATTTTTATACTAATTCCATGACTTCATCTTTTCATTAAAATTAACAAATTTATTAATATTTTTTCATACATATAATTTTTAATTTATTTTATTTAACGTATGTATTAATAGTTAATTTTTTTTTACTGAAAGTAAGAAAACTGTTAACTCCGTCGCGAAGGGAAATCAAACTAGCTGGTGGTAAGAGCACTTGGCCGCCGTGCTCTGTAAGAAAGTTTTCTTGTCAGGAAATATCCTCGCCTGCTAATGTATTCTTATGTTACGTCTCTTATGCTTGGTTCCTTCATGTCTTTCTCATTTTACTACTTTTGTTATTAATCTTGTCCACGAAATTAACCCATTTTGCTTCATGTTCGTGCTTCGTTGATGATTACAAGGTAAATTGACCTATAAAAAACTCTGGCACCGAGAGGGGGAGGACCAGGCAGGCACCATTCCCTCCAAACTTCCTTCCCTGACTTCATACTAGTTCTTGGCAAAGAAAAATAGGAGAATTTTACCAGACTTTTTAGTTCTTCCATTGCCCCTGTTTACTTTTGTTTTAGCATCAGAAGGGACAAAATGTAAGGGAAATATCATCAATTCCATGTTGATTTTTAAACCACCAAACCGAGTATATGCAACTACACAACATAATTTAACATGTCGAGGGAGAGAAATAAATAAAAATAACTAACAATGTAACACATTAAAAATAACTACAAGTGCACAGGTTTTAACCGCTGAATTGTGAGTAAATTTATTATAGATTGTAATAGTAAGATATCTTTTTAAAATGTTTAAGAAAATCATTTAAGAATTCAACGTGTGGGTAATAAGGTTTTTTTTATTTTTGTTTAGCACAGTAAACTTACTTCATCACCCTTAGAAGCAAAATCCTAAACATGAATTTAGGGTTTTTCAAAAAAAATTAAACAGTAAAATTATTAATTTAACATTGGATACTAAAAAAGAAAATAATAAGGATTTTTTGATCTATTATTCAATCTAAACACATTTAAACTATTTCATTGCTCTTCGAATTTGAACAACTTGCCCTTCACTTTAGGAGTACTTTTGGATTTGGTTATTTTGTTACTCTCGACTCTCGAGTTCTATTAGGGACAGTATGAATATTTTTCAAATACAGAAATTTTAAAAAATATGGAGGCGCGTGAATAATATACACAAGTTTTTGATAGTGTTTATGAAGCTCGAATGTCTATTTTCAGGGTGGTAATTGAAGCATCTTGGTGGCCTTTTCTTTGTTAGGCAGCGCGTATGGCCTTCTTTTTTCTTCTGTTTTTTTTTTTCGTACTTGATTTTTATACTGATCATTTAAAATTTTAAAGCTACCTTTAATTTTTTTTTCTTAATATTCTATCATTATTTTTTAATTATTATTTTTTATTTAAAGTAATTTATCTTTTTCCTCAAATTTATTTTTTAAAACTATATTATTTTTCTAATTTTATAATACTCATTCTTTCGGTTACTATTAATTTTATTTATAATAGTTTTTAAAATTATTTTTTTAAAATTTTATTTTTATTGAGTTTATTTTATATCGAATTTGGTCCTTTTATTTTTATTTTTTTCTTGATTTTTTTAAAAAAAAATTTATAATTTTATTCTTTTTATTTTTATTTTTTTCTTGATTTTTTAAAAAAATATTTTTTTATAGTTTTATTCTTTAAGATTTAACTGCTCAAGTATTTAGTTTTTTAGTTGGGTCAAAGTCTAAAATTTAACATATTACAAGTTTAAAAAAACTGGTTCAAATCTTTCTTTTTAAGCTTTTTTTTTGTTTCATACTCTAGTTTTTCATTTTCTATGAGTTTTTCACCCGTGTTGAAAATAACCAAATTGTCTTAATTTGTTTTATTGATTTTTGTTAATTTTAGATTTTTAAAAAGTAGTTTTGTTTTTTAATTAAATTAATTGATTTTATCTATTGATATTAAATAAGTCAAGTGATAAGCCTTCCTAATTAAACTTGGATACAGAATTAATAGATCACGAGTTTGAAAATTAATCTCAATTAAAAATATTTATCTAAATTTATTTATTTTTGTTTTTTGTTTTTTAAACTAGTTTTTTTTTGTTTTTTTTATCATCTTCCAATATTTTTATTTTTTTAGTATTTTTTTATTCATTTAAAAAATAACGCGTGTTACCTCAATTTTTTCTGGCCTTCATTGAATTTAACTTTTTTAGAAAAAAAATTATTTTCAAATCAAATCAAATTAATTAACTAAATACAACTGTGCGATACTCCTTAATGTTTTGTTTTTATGCTTTTTGAGTTACTACTTTGACAATGCATGTCGTCTTTTTAATTATTTTAATCTTAATTTTTTCCTAGTATTTGAATATGTTGAAGTCATCATTTTATCTTTCAAGTTTTTTCTTTTTTTAATTTAATACTTTTTACCTCTTTTTTTCCTTTCAAATTCACTTGTTAATTTGAATAGTGAAATAACCAAGACCCACCCTTTTTTTTCTCATTTCCCTCTCCCATTTTTTTTTAAAAAATCTATCTCTTGATGTTTTCTTTTTTTGTTGAATGCTTTTTATATTTTTTTTATTTTAATTGTATTATTCAATATTTTATTAGTTTGAATTGTTTATTATAATCTGTTTTAATTTATTTTTTATAAAATTATTATCATTGTTTCAAATAAACTTCTCTATATTTAATTATTACTCGATTTTATGAATGTTTATTTTTATTAACATATTATTAACTAAAAATAGGTTTTAAAAATAAAGTTTCTCTAAATAGTGAATGCGGTGGGCCTTTTTTTTTTTTATTCTATCTTCTAATTTTTTCTTCTTTTGTTTTAATATTTTTTTACTTTTTACCTTCTAATTTTTTCTTCTTTTGTTTTAATGTTTTTTTACTTTTTACTTTTTTCTTTTAATTTTATCATTTAATATTTTATTATTTTTGAATTGATCATCATAATTTTTATTATATTATTAAATAAAATATATAGTTTTTTATTAAAAAAATCAAAGTTTGTAAATCCAATGAAGCCTGTGATCTCAATTATGGGTCTTACAAGTTAGGTTGCAAGTTTAGATTGATCCAACATGTCGTTGTCTCAATATTAATATATATATATATATATATCATCTTAAAATTTGTTTTAAAATCAAACCATACTTTTACTAGTTGTTTAGGTTACGTAGAGGCAACTCTCATGTATGTTAGTTTTAAACCTCGGTTAGGCAAAGAGTCAGATCAAGAGATTTTAAAATTGACTTCCTAGATCGAGTTTAATGACAATGCCAAATATTTTTTTTTTAAATCAATCTTCCTTTTTTCTCCCTTTCAATTAAATATTTTTTTTTGTAATTTCATAGAAATTGATTGTTTTTGTTTGGTCTTTATAATTTGTTTGATTTGCTTCTTATGAGGTTATTATTATTTCAAATAAATATCATAATATTTAGTTGAGGCTCAATTTTATAAATTTTTATTTTTGTTATCATATTATCAAGTATAAATAATTTTTAATTAATAAAAATAAAAAAATATTAAACTTAGTAGAATTCATGATTCGGGTTTAACAATTCAAGTTGCAAAAACTAAATTAATTTAATATATAATTATTTTAATATTAAAAAAATATTTCAAAATTCTTTTAAAGTTAAATCATATTTTTTAATAGTTATTTAAATTACCACCAAAACTTTCAAGTTGATCAAGTCGCCGAAATAATTTTCATAAAAAAAATTGACCGTGAGATTTAAGGGTTGATACACCAAACAGGTGTAATAACATTAACAAATAATTTAATAATTTTTGAGAGGCCTAATCAATTTTTAAAGTTTTAAAAAGTTTTAATCTGACGTGGCATCGAGGGAACTAGCATGACCTGAGCCATGTTAACAAAAGTTAACTCGTAAATACTTTTCAATCTGCTATTTTCATTTTGATTTACCACAACAGTTCTCTCCTCGAAGTAATACAAAAGCAAAGGCTTAATCCTTCACAGTTAAAGCAAGAACGGTGCCATCTCAGCATATTAAGCTCTTATCAATCCCAGGCATTGAAAAAACCTGTAACTAGCATCTAATCTCTCAACAAAGGCTGAAGAATCTATCCTGGGCATAACAAAACTGTTACACTAGCATCTAAACCATCAACAAAGGCTGAAGAATCTATCCAAGAATCATATCCACATTCCCCACAATTCTCAAGTCCCACTTGATGGATTTAGAATCCACAGCACAGGTTCCAATTCCATTCCCACACACAACCCACCAAACGCGAGACAATGGAAAGTACCTGAACACAGTAAACAAGCAACTACGTGGGACAGAAGTTTCTGTGATAAGTGATAACAGTAGCGAAATGGTTACATCAAGATCACTATACTATACCTCCACCTTTCTGTTCCAAAACCAGAATAATCGTCCCCGAGTTACTAAAGAAAAAGAACAAATCCATGTTTACATCCAAAAAATGGTGCGAATCCAAGCACAACAAAGCCTTGAAAAGTCCCCCATTAGTCTGATGCTCCGCTATAGATTTTGTTGAGGTCACAGTGACTATAAGAAATACATATAAAATAAGCCTGACAGCTTAGTTACATTAACATGCTGATTATCATCGTAAAAAAGGTAAGAAAAAATAATAATTAACAATAATAGAATTCTAAAATTTTAAAATATTGGGATAAAAAATACACCTAGCTGGGGTATAATCTTTTTTCATTGTAACCCAGGAGTTATCTCATCCTTTTCTAACTACTGATGTAATAATAAAATGATGAAAATGAATTTTCCCTCTTAGAGCTTTCTTTCTCCTTTCCCCCCTTCCTTTTTGTTACTGTTACCATCAATAGTCGCTACCAACAAAATCATCAAAAAAACATGAGATTGTTTACCAAAAACTTGACAGCTTTTGCTGCCTGAGGGGCTCGTTAAGACTGATTTTAGTTTTGTTGAGCCACAAGCTGATCAATCTGCAAAGGCTCAACCCATGACCCTACCATATTGTCAAGGTCAATGGTTTCGATTTGGGACTTCATATTTGAACTCTCGCTTCGCGAAGCACTTGCTGCAATACTGCTGGACACAGGCATTTTTAACTCATCTTTCATCTCAGTTGGAGATTCCTTGACAAGTGAATGAACCCATGATAGATCAGGCCCGTCTCCATTACCAAACTCAAATGAATTTGATCTGCACAGCTTGCCCAGCTCATCTGTACTAAGGGTCCAGTCCGGTTTCCCATTTGACGAGCCCCATTTCGACCAGGTGTTGACTGGGGAGCCGACAATGGCAGCAGCATTGGAGCCTAGTTCCCTAGAGCTGAGGCTACGCAACTGCTGTCGCTGCTTCTCTCTTTGAGCTAACATGGAAACCCGAGGGCTGATTGGTGAGATAGGTTCCACATTTCGGGGTGACATCCTGCCTGATGCAAAAGAAGCCTGCAACAGAGGGTGGTCAACATTCTTAGGTGAAAAATTTGTGTTGATTGGTGATAACATGCTTTGCTGCTGCTGGAACTGATTGAGAACTGCAGATTTGTGGGATGGAGAGAAAACTGCTGAAGCCAATGCTTGATCAGCATACCGAGGGGATGAGCCAGTATACCGAGGAGATGAGCTCTCAGCCAAAAATAGATCATCAAGATTTGAAGGGGTTAAAGTTTTCAATCGGCCAGAGTGATTCATGGAGTTATTGTTCAAGGATGGTTGAGTGAGACTGGATAACTCACTCAAAAGCTGTTGTTGCTGCCCATCAAAATCTGGAAGTAGACTGTAGTCTGCTGGGATGTCTCTTGCATTAAGGGAAGATCTCAGGCGACTGGACTGCAGGTTGCTTCCAGGGAGATGCAAGGCCGGGACATTTGGTTGAGGCCAAGCCACGGAAGAATGTGAGATGCCATTGGCAGAAGGAGACATAGGTGGAGTGAATGGTGAAGGAGACATGATGGATGCAGCTGAAGGTGAGCCTGACAAGAGGTTCATAGCAGCAGCGAAATCCATGGCAGCAGCACCTGATGTACTAGAGCGAGGAGAGGGAACAGCAGAACCTGTGGATACATATAATGGGCGGAGTTCCTCAACGGTGTGAGCAAAAAAGCAAACTCTCCTTGCACAATTTGTACCGTCTTTGCACAGTCGGGTTCTATATTGAGCAGGGTGAAGCCAGCACTCAAAAACACCATGAGCATATTCACACATGTCTCCACGTCTACAAGCCCCTTTTCGGAAATCAGGACATGGAACGCAGCTATAATGAAACTTTCTAGGATCCCTTCTTCGAGCATTTTCACCAGGGTGAACAAACGGGCACTCGGTCCAATCATGGGAATAGGCACGGGAACAAGGCCTTACCTTGAATGAATACATTCGGAATTCATCAGTAGAATAGATGCTGTTCTTGATATCTGGGAGAGATGGATCAACAGGATATTCTTTCTTCTCTAATGCTAAAGGTCCGTCATTTAGCTTAGCCTTCGTTGGGGAATCTGAACCTGACAGTGGAGATCCATTTTCCATGGAAGGTGAAAGAGGTGGAGAATTTGAATTCACCGTGGCTATGGAATCCCTAAGATTTTGCTCAGCATGACAACCATCAGCAGCAAGGAGCTCTTTTAGAACCAATCTCACATCTTGGAGCTTTGGTGGAACAACAATAACATCGACTGGACGGTGACCATTGGCATCAGCCAAATTACAATCAGCACCAGCTGCTAAAAGCAGCTTCACAACATCAACAGCATTCAGAGCCCCACCCGAGGCAGCACAGTGAAGGGCAGTGCTCTTATCAACACCGCAAGAGCGATTGACATCAACGTAGGATAGAGAAAGAATCACCCTTATAACATCGATGCTACCATATGTAGCAGCAACCATCAATGGGGTCCTGTGTTCATTAACCATCTGCTTAGAGCCCTTTTTTCGGCCATACCATAGTCCAATTTCATCGACACAAGAAAGGTCATGCTCAATAGATTGCTTAAAGCCCTCAACATCATTGTTAGCAGCAAGCTCAAGCAAGCTAGCAAAGGTATCTTCAGTCTCCACAGTTAAGTGATTCATGACTATGTTGGAGGGTTGGTTTTTGTCAGAAGAAATTGTGGGTACTGTAGGAGTTGCTGCAAGCTTCAATGTCTCCAATCGACAGCACATACTTTCATTTGTTTAAACTACAAATGAAGTTGAAAACCAAGTACATTAGCATCAACCTGCTGGGAAAAAACAATCAGTATCCTCGCATCGCATAATTGGCCCTAAACAGCACCCACCAGAAATTATCGTTCACACAAGCGCAAGACATGTTAATATGGACTAAAATGACTTACTTTGACAAGCATCCTTGTCCTATCATCTCCATTGACGAATCAAAGGAACACATGTTGCAGGTTTATCTTTTATCATCATTATCATTCATCATTCTTTTTGTTAAAAGGTAACGGAATTGCATTAAGGAAATAGAAATCACAACATTACAATCTTGAGAAGAATGGATTCTTAGCTGTGTGAAGGTCCAAGAACAGAGAAAAGAAGAGAAAAAAGACTGCAATCTATTATTTTTTTTTCACTTCATACAATTTGAAGCATAATAATGTTCATAATGAACTCAGCATACAAGATATGTACAATTTTATACTCTTTTGATCCTTTTCCCTTCCACCTTCATTTCCCTGAGCTTTCCCAGAAACCAAACAGAAAATTGAGAAAAATAGAATTATACAAAACCAAAAAAAGTTTAATCGCAAAATAAGTCGAAAAAAATAGCATTACAAGAAAACAAAAAAGTCAAAACATTCAGATTGCATAATCGATACATACACAAATATAGAAGAAAACATAGAAAACAAATTGCACGTATAATCTAACACTGAATATATCCATTTATCATCAAAGCATTTGAAGCAAAAATAAAATTGACCAGAAATAACCAGATCAGGAACTTGCAAAAGATCTGGTTTTTAGAGGTAAAAATCTTCACCGATTATTTTAGCCAGAAAAAGAAACACAAACCATTGACAAAAATATCTTCCCATCATGTGATCAATCAAAAACTCTCGTTATCTCCAAACAGCAATGCTCAAGTAACCACACAGACACAGACATAAACAGATAAAACAAGAGAAACCCAGTTAAGGGTAGATAGAGAAGCAGACATGTAACTGATCAAAGCGAATCCAAGCAATATTTTTTTAAGGTTGCAAGATGGAAGTTTACTTACCAGTTTGTTTAGTTCCAGCCAAGAAAGTGAAAATTTAGGTATTTTTGACAGATCTAGACAGACTATCTCGACAAAGTTAAAGTTACAGCCTTCTCTCTTGGTGTAAGAGAAAGAGTTTTTGAGCGAGTGAGAGAAAGCGAGAACTTTCATCTTCTTGCATCTCCAAATCCTATATCTTCTCTCTCCGTTTTTTTTTCATGGAAAAATACAAAAAAAAAAAATTTGATAAAATCGCCTATCCAATAAGAAGGAAATGTGTAATAAAATCAAATGGAATATAACAAATAAAAAAAAGGCTGTGAGTACAGGGGTTGAAATTCTGTGCTCTACACTCTACTTTCTCTTCTCATTAGATAATGTTTTTGACTTATATACCCTTTTGGGTAACTGGGGAGGGCAACGAAGTCATCTCATAATGAGCCTAGTGGATGAGGTGGCAAGTTGTGAGTGGTTAAAGCAGTCCAGGCAGAGTAAGACTTGAAAAGCAAGGTAAATCCTCTCCTTCGTAATAATTGAAGTACTAAACCCTTGGCTTTTGGAGGGGCTCGGATGTCTTTGGAGATTCAACTTAAATTCACACTACATAAAAGGTAAATTTTGATGGGTAAATATCAAGTACAGTCAGTTCTTGTGAGACAAGAAACGCTACCGGTTGACTTGGCACGTTTATATTGGCTAGTGTTGTTTAGATGACGTCGTTTGAAAAGGAACCGCTTGTGTCCGTGCGAAAAAGCTTTCCACTGCTCGCTTGTAAGAGCGTGATCGGCTGTTTCGAGAACAAAATTATTAATTTGCATTTCAGTAAGTTTTTTTTAATTTTTAATTTTTTAGATTTAAATTAATTTTTTAATTTTTTTTAATTGTTTTGAGTTGTTTATATTAAAAAAATTATTTTAATAAAATTTTAAATTAAAAATATTTTAAAAAGCAATATCCACCATACTCTTAAACAAATTTTAAATTCAGGTTTTATTTTGCATAAATTAATTTGGATTAATTAAATAGATATAATATTTAAAATAAAAAAATATCTGATGAAGTTATATAAGAATTGGTTTATGAGCTCATTTATTGGGTTATCTGAATTTTATCATATCTGTTTCTATTTATTTTTTAAAAACTAATTGATATTACACTTAATTTTAATACATTGAACGAGCTTTAATTTTAATATATGAAATAACCAGCCTTTTCTTTTCTTTTCTCGCCACAGAGATGTATTCACTTCATCAACACTATCTAATTTTGTACGGTACGAAACTATTGAATATATTTTCTATTTTTGTTCGTGGGCACGATTATTTATATATAGAACTGAGAAAATATATTCGCGGGTGTAAGTAAAAGGAGGAGTAATTTTTTATTTTTTTTTAATGTTGGTGCAAAAATTATAGTTTTAATATCCTGCCCAGTAGACGGCCTGTACAAAATCCATGTTTTGAGTTTTGACTAGATTATTAGTAGATAAAATTTTATATGTTTTGAGTTTTGACTAGATTATTAGTGGATAAAATTTTATTTTTTAAAAAAATAAAAAAATATATTATTTAAAAAAAAATAAAAAAATAAAAAATTATAACTAGATTTTATAGAGTCAACCGAGTCGTCAAGTCACATAAGTTTTTTCTTATCTTTTTTTATTAATTTGACCCGGTTTTAGTTTTGAATTAATTAGGTTCCAAGTCGGGCTATATTTCAAAACACTGGTAAAAATTATAAAAAAATAAACACTTCAATTGGTTATAATTTACATCATGCTTAGCTTTTTTAGAAGAGTTAAAAGATTCTGGTAAAAGAATGGGTGAGGAGGAATGGGCAAGATGACCAGGTCGATGACATGCAAGAAAAATCATTGATTTTGTATTTTTTTTTTATCCCAGTTAAGTAAAAAATGAATTCAACGAATCAAGTAACACGAGCGACTACCCTTCTTTACCCCTGTATCGATATTTCTCTAATCTAGAAATAAATACAATATAAGAGGTTATTTTTTTTTATAAATCATAATTTTGAAAGCAAGAAACTTTGCTTGTAGAAATAGATTCCATATAAATTTTTATATATAAAAAAATATAATTTATAAACAAGTCAATAATAAAAAATTTATTCGCTCACATAAAATTTATGGGGTTTATAGAGTTTAGTTATGGTTATTTTTTAAAATAATTTTTGTTAGGAAAAACAATGAAATAATGTTTTTTATTTTTAAAAAAATATTTTTGTCTAAAAAAATAATTTGAAATAAAAAAAATTTAATTTTTTTCATAAAAATTTTTAAAACACAAAAACAAATAGGCATAATCTAATTTAAGTATTTTTTATAATTATAGTAGTGGTTACTTTTTGAATTACTTTTCACTTAAAAATATATTAAAATAAATATTTTTAAAATTTTTAAATTTATTTTTAATATCAGCACACTAAAATAATAAAAAAATCATAAAAAAATTAAAAATATATCAAAATAAATATTTTTTAAAATTTTAAATTTACTTTTGATATCAACACACTAAAATAATAAAAAACCATAAAAAATTAACTCAAATAAAAAATAAAAATATTATTTAACCATGAAAACAGACACACTTTTGTAATTTATAAGAAAAAATAAAGGATTTCTTGGAACTCTCAATTTATGGAGAACTACATTCAAATCAACCAAACAATTTTTAACTATTCCTTTTCTTATTCACTAAAGAAAATATTCTTTCCCTTTAGCAACATGGGCTAGCTGAACAAATTTTCTGGAAATTTTCTGAAATATTTATGTACAGGCCATAATGATTAATATTTCTAAGTGTGTTTTTCTGAAAAAGCCATGAAATTTTTTATATATATGAAGTGAAAATATAACTAACTCTCCTCGTAACTAGCACCCATGCAATCAACAAGAAAGAGATAAATTTTAAGAATATATTTTAATTAATTAGATTTTAGATTTATTTTATAAAAATCACTGGTTTAAATTTTATAAACTTTAACTTCATCAAAATTTATATAATAATTAATTTTAAAATTTATAAATTTAATTAAGATACATAAAAACTAAATACCCACGTTAAAAAAAGAAAGAAGAAAAAAGTAACCTCTACTAGTAGGAGAATGGTCCTAATCCAGGAGCGACTAGGAGTGCCTTGCTTCGAAAGAAAATCAGCACATGAATTAGCTTAAGGCGTGGCTCAACTGAATGTCCAACTCCCTAGACAAGAGACAAGAGCTCTCTAGCTCAACTGAATGTCCAACTCCCTAGACAAAGCCCTCTGATGGGCGAGATCATCCCTAAAATTCCATGAAACGTTTGATTGAACTTACACTGACAATTTTCCAGGCAGAATGATAACTGGTCACATCATGGTTATATGCTGGATTTTTAATTTATTTGGTTTTTCAAACTATTTTTTATTTTTAAAATATATTAAAATATATTTTTTACATTAATATATAAAAATAATTAAAAATATATAAAAAAATAATTTGAAAAACATTCTTAAGAGCTTTTTTAATTTAAAAACAAACACATTTAGGTAGAATTTGAAATTACATAACAACTATTTTTTAATTTTAGGTAGAATTTGAAATTACATAACAATTATTTTTTAATATTTTTAAATATTAACACATCAAAATAATACAAAATTACATAAAAATTAAAAACTTAAAACCTTTTTAAATAAAAAACATAACATCATGATGATTCTCAAAGTAGATAATCTTTCAAAAATTTGTAGCGGTGTTAGAGAAAATAATAACAATAATAGTTTAAAATGTTTTTTACTTACAAATATATTAAATAAAATTATTTTATTTTTCAAAAATAATTTTTGATATTAATATATTAAAAATATTTAAAAAATATTATATTAACTATGTTTCAAATAACAAAAAGAACCCGTTGGGCAGGTGAAAAGGTCATAAAGTGACCGGTTAGGTGAGTAATGAGAAGAAATGTGACCCAGCGAAGCGGTGACAAGCGAGCGTGCCAGAAGTATGGATTAAACAGGATTTAAAAATGGGAAATGGGGCCCACCATTTAAAGGCTCTGGGTTTTGCTAGAGTGCATGACAACGGACATGAAAGCTCCAGTCAATTCTAGTTAATTGTGGATTCAAATCACCGGAGTTAAAAGAAAAGTTACCGAAAAAAATACAAAAAAAGCAAGATTCAGACCATTAGCAGTATAAAGTTACGGTTGGGTTTTTCTTAAAAAATAAAATAATAGTAATTCAAAATTAAGGCTCTGGGTTTTATTTGAAAACCATAACAAGGTTGGATGGTATTTTAAATATTATTTTTATTTTTATAGGGGATTTTATTTAAAATAAAAAAATAAAGGATGATAAAAAAGGCTTCCGAGCCTAGGAGGACGAGGCAGGGTGGCTGGCCTGAAAAATAGATCTCATGCGCGCATGGTCCTGCAAGGTTTGGCTCTTGTGCCTAGCTTTCTTTCTTTATTTTATTTTAATGCGTAATTTGCTTTATTTATTTGTTTTTAATAAGAGGAATGGTGTGTTGTCTGCTTTTTTAAATTTTGACTTTTTTTATTATCAGAAAGTCAAAGTTTTAGTTTTAGGATACTTAAAACTCATTTTTTAAACTTGTTTTTTACCAATAAATAATTAAAATACATAACATAGCAGAGTCTCATTAAACTCTTTTTAACAAAACAACCTCTCCTCCATGCCTTTTAAAAAACCACAATTAAATTGAATTAAAAAGTCTTCTTCGCTATAGTATATTTTTTTACAAGATAAAAAATTTAAAATCTATTTATACCAAAATCAGTTCTTTTCATGTCCAGCATGTGCCTGGCCAACTATTTTTTCTCTCTTTTAATTTTATAATGACTTTATCTATTCCTTTTTAATATTTAGGGATTATAAAATCCTAAAATCTCAAGAATCACGAGCCTAGGAGGACGAGGCAGGGTGGCTGGCCTGAAAAATAGATCTCATGCGCGCATGGTCCTGCAAGGTTTGGCTCTTGTGCCTAGCTTTCTTTCTTTATTTTATTTTAATGATTAATTTGCTTTATTTATTTGTTTTTAATAAGAGGAATGGTGTGTTGTCTGCTTTTTTAAATTTTGACTTTTTTTATTATCAGAAAGTCAAAGTTTTAGTTTTAGGATACTTAAAACTCATTTTTTTAACTTGTTTTTTACTAATAAATAATTAAAATACATAGCACAGCAGAGTCTCATTAAACTCCTTTTAAAAAAATTACC